TCCTCCCCCCTCCCCAAGATGGCATGTAATCTAATATAGGCTCTACTTAGACATTCGTATCACATTAGTCATGATGTATAGAAGAATTAAAACTAAGGGGAGGAACCATGAGAAAGAAAAAAGAAAATAAAACAACAAAAAAAGGAGAGCAAATAGTATGCGTCCATCTGCATTCAGACTCCATAGTTCTTTTTCTGGATGCGGATAGCATTTTCCATCATGAGTCTTTTGGAGTTGGCAGATCGTTGCATTGCTGAGAGGAGCTAATGTCAAAGTCAATCATCGAACAATGTGTAAATAGCACTCTTCTTGAAGATGACCACTGATAGGAAGATGAGTCAAGCCATAATCTCACTTGTCAGGAAATGTAGACTCAAAAATTGATACTTAGAACCTAACCCATGAGACGGTGGCAGACGTTTCACCTTCATCTTGATTCTACATTGTCTGAACAACTCCCTCAAGGTTCACATCTTCTGGTAAGCCAGTTCAGGGGTTGGGGTCATTATCTTATTCGTGGTAATCTTCTCTGAGAAGGGTATATGGTTCCTGCTGCCAATCAGTTCTGACCAAGGGACTAGGAATTTCCGGGCATCTCAAATTCACAAGGAAGCCTCCAAAGCAGAAAACATTCATCTCAGGATCACTGCTTAATCACCTATGCTCAAGGAGAGAAACACAAGCCAAAGAGACAGCTCAGACCTCAAGATCCCAACTCAAGCTCACTTAGATGAATATATACTCTAACTTTCTAGCATTTTAGCATTCAACAAAGAAGTGGGGGGGGGGAAGAGAAGTACCCCTCATAGGAAGTCAAAGAGAGAGCCCCACAGAATCCCTATGTGCTTAGTAGGTGGGAAGAGAGATCAATGACAGAAGTTATCTTTTTCCTGAGGAGGTGGTTCTTTCTGGCTCAGAGGCCAATCCTCCTTTGAAGCATCACCCCTCTCCTTCTACCATCACAGGAACTAAGATATTGCTAAATCATTCCAAAACACAAAGTCCCACAGTGCTAAGTCAGAGCACAAGTGGCCTGCCAGAAGTGGCCAGGGAAACTCAGCTCAGCTCCACACATGCTCCATGAGTCATGCCAAACCACGTGAGAGTGGGTTGGGGTTTGTAATAACCTACATTATATTGTTTATTATCTATATAGCTTATTTTGACATCTATTGACTATTTATATAGTATTCCTATTTAACTTTTTCATGAGTATTTCCTGTTTCCCAAATTAGATATCACAAGATCCTGATGTATAGGCACCATAGCAAACCTCATTTTATCTCAGCATTTAGCTAGAGATCTGCACACAGTAGGTGTTCAATAAATACTTGTTGATGTTGATAGTAGTGAATGAGAGGAAGAGAGACAATAAATTTCAGAATGTGCTTAACCACATAGCCTTAATTATGTAGAAGCAGTGAGGAGCCACTGAAAGGTTTTTGAAGGAGGTGAGGTGAAGTGTAGGTAAGAGGGTGACATGGTTAGATATGTGCCTTAGGAAGATTTATTTGCAGTTTTTGAAAAAGGGATTAGAGTGGTGAGAGACATAAGGCTTTTCAAATAGTCTAAGTGAGAAGTGCTGAGGACCTGAACTAGAATGATAGTAGTGGGGGGTGGAGAGAGGAGAATGCATGCAGAAAATGTGTCAACAGAATTGACAGGGATTGGTAATTGATTGGTTACGGCATGTGAGGGTGAAGGGAAAGTATATGATGAGGCTTAGATTTTGGCCCTGAGTGACTAGCAAGATGCTGATGCATGCCCATAATAGAAAAAGAGAAGGTGAGAGGAGGTTTAGGAAGTTGTCTGGTCTGGGACATGTTGAGCTGGAGGTGTCGGGAGGGATGTGCGGGTGGATATGTGTTGCAAGCAGCTGGAGCTTTAAGATTAGTTTTCAGAGAAGTGCTTAGGGCTGGGCTGGATGCATAGATTTTTAGAGTCATGTGCACAGAGGTGACAATTGAATCCATGGAAACGGGATGAGATCACCAAGGAAAAGAGTGGAGCCAGAGAAAACCTAGGACAGAGCTTTGGGGGACACCCACACTTAGGGGGAGGGAAGAAGATGGTGAACCAGTAAAGGGAATTGAAAAGGAGCAGAGAAAGAAGGTAGGAGAAAAATTGAGAGAGTAGAAGTCCAAGGAGGAGAGAAGGTTCAGGAGGAGAGGGTGGGAAAGTTTTAAATGTTACAGAAAACTAGAGGAGCTAAGACAGACAGAATCTAACTATCCTTTCTCAATAATTTAAAAAAAGCCATAGCATTATGTGTTTATATTATTATCTTGACAATTGGAGTGTAAACTTCAATTCAATAAGCATTCAATAAGCCTACAAAGTGCCAGGTGTGGGGATAAAAAGTCAAAATAAAAACCAGTCCCTGCCCTCAAGGAGCTCCCATTCTATTGGAGAGATACAACATTTCTACATCTAAGTCCATACAGGAGAATTTGAGGAGAGAGTGCACAAATGGCTCAGGTCATCAGAATAGACTTCCTACAAGTGTAACTTGAGTTGGGCTTTGAAAAAAGGCAAGGATTGTAAGAAACAGGGAACATGGATGAACAGCCCAGGGAGGTAGGCCACTGCTTGTAAAAAGGAAGGATGAAATTCCAAATTTGAGGAAAACCATGTAGGCTAGTTTAACTGAAACATAGTGCTCATGAAAAGGAAGAATTGGAAATTAATTTGGAAAGGTTGGCTGGAGCCAGACTGGGAAGGGCCTTCCCAGCTAAGCATAAGAACTTATAATTTATCCTAGAGACAGCAGGGAGCCGCAGGAGATTCCCAGGGCAGGAGGGTGACCTGGTCAGTCCTGTACTTTGGGAAGATAATTTTGGCAGATGTTTGGAGGATAGATAGTTGAGATCAGGGACCAGAATCAGGGAATTCTAGTAGGAGGTTATTTATAACCGTATTTATGTCATGCTTCATCAATATTATCAAGTTAATCCTCACTGCAATCCTAGGAGGTATGTGCTGTTACATCCCCATTTTACAGATGAGGAAATTAAGACAAAGAGAAGTAACTTGCCCAGGGTCACACAGCTAGTGAGTGTCAGAGGCTGGATTTGAACTCAAGTCTTCTTGACTTCAAGTCCAATGCTCTATCCACTGTGTAATCTAGTTTTCTCTGCTCTATTACACTAATCTAGACAAAAGTCCAGATTAAGGTGAAGGCCATATGAACATAAAGAAAGGGAGAGATGTAAGAAAAGGGGGGAGAGTTAGAACTGATGGCCCTTCACAATTCACTGGGCATAGGGAGGTTAGGAAAAGGAAGACTATGACATAGACGTGGTCTACTGAAAGGGATAGATGCCCTAAGCAGAAATGGAAAAGTTAGCAGGACAGGAATGGGGGGGGGGGGCAGAATAGATAATGAGTTCCATTTAGGCTATGTTGAGTTTGAGATGACTGTGTCACATCTACAGGGAGGTGTCCAACAAGCAATTTATGATGCCTAACTAGAACTCCAGGGAGAGATTAGTGCTGGATACATAGGTCTGGAAGTCATTTGCCTAGAGATGCTAATTGAACCCAAAGGATCTGATGACATCGGCGAAAGGGAGGTTGTACAGAAAGGAAAAGAAACCAAGCCTTCAGGGACACTTAAGATTAGGGGGTAGGACCTTGAGGACCCTGACCATGTCTAGAAATCATCTGTATCCCTCAGTTTCCAGGACAGTGTTGGCACAGGGCAGATGTTGAAGAAATATTTGATGAGGATTAGATGAAAATAAGCAGAGACTCAGATCGAGCTCTCTACACTTGCATTAAGCAGTGGAACCTGGTGATTCTGGGTTGAGAGAGAATATAGAAGGGATAAGTTTGGGGAGGAAGCAATGAATTTAGTTTACGTCTCTTCTAACCTCCTTTTGGAGACTCTCCTCCTGTTATCTATCTGCTATTGCCGGGATACATTAAGCTCCTTGAGGGGGATTATTTAGGTGCTGTTTGTTTTTCATCTCAGTATTCCCCACACCTAGCACTGTGCCTGGAACTCCATAAATACTGTAAAAATCGATTTGCATGGTAATATGTTTTGCATGATTGAACACGTATAATCTATATCAAATTGCTTACTGTCTCGGGGGGGGGGGAAGAAAAAATTTGGAACTCAAAAAAATTTTTTAAAATGAATGTTAAAAATTGTCTTTACATGTAACTGGGGGAAAATAAAATATTATTTAAAAATCAATTTGAGTTGAAGGGATTGGTAGTGGAAAGAGTTCTGTGGAACATGGCAGATGAAGAAATTTGTTTTATATGACTATACGTATTTGTAACAGATTTTAATTTTCTTGCCTTCTCCATGTGCGGGGGAGGAGAGGGAGAGATAATTTGGAACTGCAAATAAAAGCAAATCTATAAATAAAGAAAAAAGAAAGAGTGCTAGGTTTGCAAACAGGAGACCTGAATTAAAATTCCATTTCTTCCGAGCTGTGTGACCTAGTAAAGTAGAAAGCAACGGTAGGCGCTTCATAAATGTTTATTGACCGACTGCCTAGAACCAGGGAGTCTGGGCTCGAATCCTAGCTCTGCTGAATAGAATATCAGTGTGACCTTGGGTGAGTCATTCTCTGAGCCTCACTCAGTTCCTCGTCTGTTTAAGAAGGTTGGATTAGCTGGCGCCTGAGGACCTTTCCAGCTTTAGAGCCGAGATGCCTAGGTTTTCTGTTTGTGGGTCCTTGGGCTGTAGGGCCAACTTGTGTGAGGGGTATGCGTCTGGGGAGGGCTGTTGCTACATGGCACGCAATGAATGCCAGAGGGAGATTGGCAGCTTGTTTGTGTGAGCCTGTTTGCCTGGCTGGCCCTCTGTTTTAGAGCGTGCGTCATCCTTGGAGCGTGTCTGTCTCTGCCTAGGCCTGTCGGGTCCCGTTGCTGGTGTCGTCATGGTACGGGCCCAAAATAGCTTCGGCTCCGCCTCCACCTCGGAGCAGCCGCGGCGGCCCGCCCTTCTTCCCCTTCTCCCCCACCTCCTGTCTGCAAGCCGGCCGGAGCCAGCGATTCGCAGTCTAGTATTTTCCCTGCCTCGGGCGCATGCTCGGGCCCCTTCCCTGAGCTAGGGCTGGGCCGAGCTACGCAGTTTGGGAGCCAGAGCCGGAGCGAAGGCAGCCACTGTTAGCAGTTCCCGGGGTGGGGGGCGGGGCTCCGCCGCACTGGAGGGCTGGGGGCTCGGGTGGCTTGGGCGGGGGAAGGAGGGGAGGGAGCGCTTCTGTTTCCAGGGGGAGGGGGCTGCTGGGACTGAGCTCTGTTTGCTGTAGGGGCAGCAGCCCAGGCTGGCTTGTATTGGGGCTGGCTATAACACCTTCTTGGAGAGGAAGGATGGTGTGGATAGCTCACGCTGAAAGCCAGTGACGCTCGAGCTGCCCTTCTGCCTAGGAATTTTCCCGGAGGAGTATGTTCCTCCCTATCTCTTGGGGAAGCTCTCTAGTCTCTGACAAATTCCTCTTCTGCAGCCTCATTAGGGACTTATAGACAGACGGGCTGCTATGGCATCCTACTACGAGATCCTGGATGTGCCTCCAAGTGCCTCCCCTGATGACATCAAGAAGGCGTAAGTGCCCCCATCCCTGGGCATCCGTGAGGCTTCTCCTACTCTCAGGAAACTTCTTCCGGGCACGCCAGTACCAGTGGGTGTGCCTGGTAGCAGCAATGAAAGAACAAGGCCCTAGGAAAGATCTAGGGCTTTCTCCAAGTCTCACGGATTGAGGAAGCGATGTGAGAAAGCTATAGCAAAATGAAGGTGTTGTCATATAGTGGGAGAAAAAAGTACCAGACTTGGAGTCAGAGGTCCTGGGTTTGAATTTAGAGACTCTTTACTAATAGCTGTGTGATCATGGACAAGTGAGTTCATCCATCCGATCTTCAGGTCCCACATCTGTAAAGCAAAGGGATTGGTCAAGATGATCTAAGGTGCCTTCCTGTTTGATGGCTATGATCCTATGAAAATGCTTATGTGGCTTGCACTGAGGGTTCTCTTCCTGAACCCCATCCCATTAGAGTTTAGGCTTCTCCCTTTTCTGGAGATGTCCCTGGGCAGCCTGCTTTCATGCTTAGGGACCCTGATTATCATGGGATGGAGTAGAAGTGGAGTTGAGGTTGAAGGGACAACACTTAGGGAAAATGGAGAAAACAACTGCCCTGTCCCCCCACTGGCCACTGCAGGCATGCATAAAGACTCCTGCTGCTTCTGGGGAGATCCCTGGAACGGATCAGAGTGGGGCTGCTCTTTCTTTCATTCCATCATCAACAGACTCAGTACCTACCACGTTCAGGGCACCATGCTAGCTGTTGGAGGGGGTAGGGTAGGGTGGAGGGGTAGATATAAAAGTATTACACAAGATCCCTGTCCTCCAGAAGTTTACACTCCAGTTGGGCCCGTGAAATATAGCCACTGAAGGATATACAACAGAGTAAAAACAAACGTGGCAAACCACTGCAGTATTTTTGCCAAGAAAAGCCCAAATGGTGTCATGAAGAGATAGAAGCCACTTAAATGATGACAATGAGGGATGATGATGGTGATGATGATGATGATGATGATGATGATGGGGGCAAAAAATAAACAAGGCAGAGAGTAGGAGGTGGGGGTGAATTTCCTAATAAGACTTACTTGTGGAGAATGAAGTGGGAGAGAAGGGACTCTGGTAACCTTGGGCAAATACTAGAAACGAAGAGGAGATGGGAAGAGAGACTGAGGCCCAGGAGGACCCCTCTCACACTGCCCTCTATCCCCCCTTGTAGCTACAGAAAGAAGGCACTCCAGTGGCATCCAGACAAGAATCCTGACAACAAGGAATTTGCAGAGCAGAAATTTAAGGAAGTTGCAGAGGCCTATGAAGTGCTGTCAGATAGTAAGGGCCTGAAGCCTGGTTCATTTCAGACTATAATTCTCATTTGTTCCTGTAGCCATTACCCTTCCACTATAGACTCCTTTTCCCCCTTGCCTGCTTCTGTTTCCACTTGCAGGTCTCCCTGGGATAATGTATATTGTACCTCCTCTCTGAAGGGGACATCTGGAGTTTTCTTTTGCTTTTTTTTGGCTTTAATCCTCATTCATCCATTCATTTTGCATAGACCTCTCCTACCGGCTGATTCTATACCCAAGGCAACCCCAGTAGGGACAATCTTAGCCCGCTCATGGATGGTCCCAGAATTGTGGCAGCCAGGGGAGGGAGCGGAAGGACATGCTGTGTTGTTACCACAGCCAGTGGGAAGAGCTGACGTTCACATTTTTTTTTTTAGAGCAAAAACGGGACCTCTATGACCGCTATGGCAAAGATGGACTGTCTGGGCCTGGTAGGTAGAGTTGGGAAGGAGCGAGATGGGTAAACGAGATGGTGAGATGGGGGAGGGGAAATAGTCAATGAAGATGATCAAGCCTAGTTACCTTCTCTTAAGAGTGTTTACTGTTCTTGGGAGCAGTTGCATAAAGCTTCTATACAGCACTCCCCCGAAGCAGTGGGCCATTTATTTGTCCTGTCCTGTCCCCCTCACCCCTTAGCAGGTTCAGAATCTCCAAGGGCTGGATCTGGTGGATTCACCTTCACCTTTCGAAATCCTGAGGACGTCTTCAGGGAATTTTTTGGGGGCCAAGACCCATTTGCTGACTTTTTTGGTGAGTAGGTGATCAGATATCCCTCTTCCATCCTGGTGATGTTTAAAACTAAGTGTGGGAGTGAGAAGACTTGAGTTCTTGAGGCAAAAACAATTTTCAGGGATGAGCTCCAAACTAGTATTATGGGGAAAGAGGGGGATATTTTTGGCATCTCTCAGGCAAAGGTCCTCAGGAAAGAAAGGGAAGCTAAGAGTGACCCCAGTGAGAATCTTTCTCTCCTTCTGTCCAATCAATACTGAGGACATTGCTTGCTCTTTGCAGATGACCTAGGACCGAGTCAGGGCCCGCTGCATTCCAGAGGCTTTTTTGGTTTTTCTCCCTTCTCTTCCCACCCAGGTAGATATTGCTGTTCTTTCACATTCCAGTCTCTAAATTCCATGATCCTTCAACTCTAACCTTCAATTGTTCCTTCTGCTTGCTTTCCACTATTTGCTGAATTGATCAGCAGCAACCCCCTCCCTGACGCCAGCCTACTCCACTCTGCTCCTGAAGCCTTCCTAGTCAGGAGGTCTCAGGAAGCATGCTCCCTTGGTTTCATAGCTGCTCCCTAAATCCATTCATTTCTTTACTGGTGCCTCCAACCATTGGATGAGTCTGTTTTTCTCCTCCTTTTCCCTCATCTCTACAGACTTTGCTTCATCCTTCTCCTTCAGTCCTGGGGCCCACGCCCTACGTTCTGTGACCACCTCTACCACCTTTGTGAATGGCCGCCGAGTTACAACTCGAAGGTAGGGGGATGTGGACGAAGTATCCAATCGTGGATTGGGAGACTCTCGACTTAGCTTTTCATTCTGGATCTGGCCAATGAAAGAGTTGGACCGAATGATCTTTGAGGCCCTTTCTGGCTCTGAAATGCTCCGATTCTAAGGATGGGGAGGGAAGTGTGGGGGCAGAAGTTTGGAGACTGTGGGACTCTGGGCAGGAGGATGTTGGTGAGTGGGGTGCGACCCAGTGAAAGTAACTGTGCCATCTATTACAGAATCAGGGAAAATGGAGAGGAGCGGGTGGAGGTGGAGGAGGATGGGCAGCTGAAGACAGTCCTTGTCAATGGTGAGAGGTAGCATGGCTGTGCAGCCCCTGGACAGGAATTCCTCACTTCTACTCCCCTTTCTGGGCTGCTCGTTGGGTGGGAGAAGTTGTCCTTTGGCCTATTCATAGGGCAGGAGTTAGAGGGTTGGGGCCATCCATGGGGGTGGGAAGGACTCTGAGAAGGTGCCATCTACTTGTGGGAGTACTCTGGTGACATGGTACAGAGGGGGACAATACAAATGGAGATACAGAGGGTTCTGCTAGGGACCTGGTCAGAGACACATGTGGGAAAATAGATGAGAACCCATGGCAGGTACTGGCCTACAGGTCAGGCAGAGCTTTGATTATCTCCTACAGGAGTCCCTGATGACCTGGCGCTGGGGCTGGAACTGAGTCGCCGAGAGCAGATGCATTTGACCAAAGAACCTAGTGGGGCCGTGCCCAAGTCTTTCCATGTCTCAGGCCTCTCGGACAATGAAGACGAGGACATGCAGCTAGCCATGGCCTATAGTCTGTCTGAGAAGGAAGCAGCTGAAAAGAAGGCTGCAGGTGGGCGGCAGGGCAGTCAACAGCATGAGAGTGCTGGGACCCGGGCCCACAAAGCAGCAGAGAAGAAGGCCACAGGGGGGCGGCAGGCCAGTCAGCAGCAGAGGAGTCCTGACACCCAGGCCCAGGAAGCAGCTGGGAAGAAGTCTGCAGGTGGGCAGTGGGCCCACCAATGGCAGGGACATCCTGAGACCTGGGCCCAGGATCCGGGTGTGGGGGTGGTTCAGGAAGGGGCACCGAGAGTGGCCAGAGAGCCCAGCGTGGCTTCTGAGGATAAGGCATCTCGCTGTAGCATCCTCTGAAGACAAGATCCCAGTCACCTTAAGTCAGCTCTCTGGGAGGTTCTCCTCTCACAGCTGGAGCTCAGTTCATACCCCTAACACTGTCTAAGCTCCAGCCTCACCTCCATGGCCCCTTGGGTTTCCCTTCTTAACCATTAGCCCTGACTCGGGCTTGAGTCTGCTATGACCATGAGGTTTGCTACTGCCATTGCTACTGTTGATGCTGTTCTTGGCCTATGCCCAGCACAGAAGGGTCAGGCTCTGTCAGGTGGGACCTGGGCCTTGTTATTGGGGAGGGAAAAATTCATCAGGAAGACTACCCTTGGGCAGGGGTCAGTGGGGGCCTTTAGGAAAAGAACCTGAGGACAGTGGTATGGGCTGGTTGATAGAGGCAGAATTCTGTCCCTGAGACTCATTTCCATCCTGTACACATGATGGGGTTTGTAGGCGAGATCTCAGCATGGAGTTACCCCAGATCCTGTCTTGGGTGGCACACGTTGTGATCTGGTAGAATTTGTCCTGGAGTGGTGGTGGGGAGGGATGATATGAGTGTCAACCTCTGTTCCTGTTGTACAGTTGTAGACCGTCCGCCCCTTGCCACATGAGTGGTTCTGGGGTAAGGACTAAGGTGCTGTGATGAGATCTGACTGTCTCTGTTGCTTGCCTCCTCCAATTCCTTGAAGCTGTGCCCGCTGCTTCTCCTTCCTCAGACACCTCTCTCTTCCCCCCTTCCCTACTGGCTGGCTGGCTAAGATACCCCCTCCCTTTCCCTCTTCCCCCACAAGGCCTTGGTGCTGAATGAGGAAGAAGCTGGAAGGGCTGTGGGTCTCCAGGGTAGGTAGGCTAAGGAGTACCCTCAGTAGCCCTTTGACTCTGAACCCAGGTCCACTTCATTCCCTTCTTCCTCTGATTGTTCCTATCCTCTGTTAGGCCTTTGAACTGGTTGGAAAATGGGGTGCCCAGAAGAGAGAGGGATGGTTTGGGGTAAGGGATGATCACCAAAGTTTGGCCCACATGGGGACTGTGTATTCCCTCCCCTCATCTGAACCCCAAGGATGACGCTTCAGGGGGAGCCCTGGACTTGGCTACCGTGCTTTGCTCCAGGCTGCTTGGCGCTGACCCTTCTTTCCTGTCACCCCTGCCCTGCTCTCTCCCCAGATGTATTCTGAACTGGATGTCCGGGACCCAGAGCCATCGCAAAGCTCCTTCAGGATGTCGCCCTTCCCTGGGTGCAGGGTGGGGGGATTCCCCTCCATTCCTCTCCCCCATCCATGCTGAGCTCGGAGCCATGGCCTGGATGGTGTGCTTCAGGGGCAGGTGGGCGGTGGGTTAGTAGTGGTAGACAACAGACTTCCCAGGGGCCTGTGTTCAGTAGCCCTTGAAAACTACATGTCCCATAATGCTATGTACCCCTTCATGAATTGCCTGGGTGAAACTGTGATGTGGGAGCAATGCATCTTAGGGCATGCAGTTTCCACCAGTACCAGCCACAGGCTGCCTCTCTTCTGTCCTGTGATGACACGGAAGAGTCCTATCCCTCGTAGAGGTGGAGAGTGTGTGGATACGCTGGGGAGAGGAAGAGTCCGGGGTTGGAGCCAGCCAGCTAAATCCTAGGCTCCTCCAAATCTGTCTCACCATTGGACTCCACTGGTTGGGGGAGGAGCCAAGATGGGGGGAGAAATAATGGGAGGGAGAAACTTTATTCATCTGTGCAGTGATGGGTCCTGGAAAACAAAGCAGCCACCCCCCCCCCCCCCCCCCGCGCGGGGCCCGCCGCCCGAGGGGAGACCCCTGAAGGCGGTGGCTGGGTGGAGGCATGGGTGGGGCAGTTGGGTATTTGTTGGGTGCGGTGTGGAGTTAGGAATAGGGTGGGGAATGGGAAACTGAAACTGGTCCCAACAGGCTGTGAGTGTGAGTTGTGCTAGGGCCAGCTGAATGGTACTTGTGAGAAGGAGCTGAAGGGCATGTCGCTGCTTGTATGGCCTCGTCCAGCCTCTAACCCCCTTCCATTCATGATGACGGAGCTGCCCTTCCTCTTCTCTGCTTAGTGGAGTCTCCAGGAGAGGAGGAGGAAGGGGTGGAGAAGGCATGAGTGCTTCACCAGGTCCAGCTTGTGAGGGCCTACTGGGTCAGGGTGTGCTTAGCTCAGATTCATGAGTAAAACACTGGAAATCAATAAACCTGATAATATTTGGAGACTGTACTGGCTATCCTTGGAGCCTCCTTTCATTGGCCAGCTCAGGTGAAGATGGGAGGGGCGATTCAAAGTAGCCTGTTGCCTGTTCAGGTCTGATGAGTGAATTGTGGAAGACTGATCTGCCCCTTGGACATATTTCCCCTCGTTAGAGTTGGGTTCGGTTTCTGAACCCTCTGCGGTACTAATCGGAAGCTGAGGCTTGAGTCTAGTCTTGGAACTGGAAAAATCAGCCAAGTGGCTGATAATAATAGCACCTGCTCACTGAGCGTGGAGTGAGGAAGTGTGGTATATTGGGTAAGCTACAGGACCTCTGACATTGGGTTTGAATCTCCCCTCACTTACTAGATGTGTGACCCTGGGCAGGTCATACATATAACTTATCTGAGTTGCACTTTCTCCATCTGTAAAATGGGGATAATAGCATCTATCTTACTGGGTTGAGATGAAATTCGAATGTATGTAAACTCTTTACAAACCTTAGAGTACTTTTTAAAATGTGAGCTATTACAGATTTAGGCAGCTGGTCACCTTCAGGTGGGCTTGCCGAGCCAGGACCTGGGGATACCCTCCAGGAATGCTAAGTGCAGATACATGGAGGGTCTGTGCCATCTAGCTAACACTGGATTCAGCACGACCTGCTTGGGCAGGCCTGAAGGGGAAAGATGGGTTGCAGTGTATGCCCCTGACTAATGCTTCTCAAAACCAACATCCAAATGTGTAGCTGTAGGACTACAAGTGAATCTGTCCAGCATGTTGGTTGCACATGTGTGCTGTAGTGGAAAAAACCCTCAATGGAAAACTGGCAGGCTCTGGTTTTAAACCTAGTTCTAATGCTGCCTGGGACCTTGGGAAAGTTTCCCCTTTCTGTACCTCAGTTTCTGTTATCTGTAGAATGAAAGCATCATATGCCATGAGCTCTAAAGGTCTCTTCCTGCTAAGAAGTATATGAAACAAACTTTGCTTCAGTTTGGGGGTTCATGGATGGAAGACCTCCAGTGGTGGAGAGATTGGGGTGATATTTGGGACCACAGGACATCAAAGTGGTCCAGAAGGTAGAGGAAAGAGGTTGACCCATTGGCCCCCGAAGAAAGAGCTATTAACATTTTCTGTTAATGAGAGGAAGATAAACCTGGCAGCTAACCAAGCCCCAGAACTGGGAGAGAGAGACTAAAGGCTGGGGGTGGGGTCTTGGAAGTCAGGCAGACAGAGATAGGCAGGAGCCAGAGTTGCAGCGGCACAGATAAAACATGGACTTTATTCACATTGATACAAAATTAGATCTTTCTAGAAAGGTTGATGTAGCACTGGAGGGAAAGGGAGTCCAGGGGCAGACTGTGGGTTGGTCAGTCGGTTGGTTGGGAAGTTGGGAGAGGGAAAAGGGATGGTCTAGAAAGGGCAGGATGCCAGAGAGTCACAGTCCTGGAGCAGAGAGCCCAGATTCCCTCCTCCACAGGGGGAGGTTGGGTTGCAGCTGTTTTGGCCTCAGGGCAGGGCTAAAGCTTTTATAAGGTGGGAAAATTAGAGTGAGGTTTGGAGGATGGTTAGATAGGAGGAGTGGAGTTCAAAGCTGGAAACTCCCCTGACCCCCCCCCCCCAACACTTTTACTCATACTGAAGTGTGCCATAAGTTATAGGCAATCCTTCATGACTCTGGGGCCATTGGGGAGACAGGAGTTGGAAGGGCAGAGGAAGAAAGGAAGAAGCCTGTGGGTGTAAATTTATGCCCTCCCTTCCCCCCTCCCCTTCTCTTACCTTGCAGACAACTGCCCTTTAGTGGAACCTAGGGTTCCTGCATGTGGGAACCCGGAGACCTGGGGTGTGTAGGAGAGGGGTCTGATTCCCCCTCCATGTTTTGGAGAGGGGCTCAGGTTCAGCTCTGAGAAGCCCAGGGTAGAGTGGGGCAGGAGATACAGAGTACGGGGTGCTGGCATAGGACAGAGATGCTTGCACGGACCATGAAGGAGTACAGGGGTTGAACCATGTCCACAGGAAGGGCAGGAAGCAGAAACAGCAGGGTTGTTCACTGAGGCAGAGCCTTCAGGATGGCGTTTACTTCCTCTGCCACTGCTGTCAATGCAAATTCAAACTGGTCCTGGTGAGAGGGAGGGAGAATTGTGTTAGAGGATCAGGGCCAGGCCTTGGAGGAGATAGAAAACCTCCTGCCAGGGAGAAGAGCTTGCATGATTTGGGGACTGGTGATAGGAATATCTGGAATCAAGGGATAGAGACATGCAGGAGAGAGGCTGGGAGGGGGGTGCAGATTGCTTTGTGGATATCAGCTATACCAGCTGTCCCAGGGGCTGAGAAGTGGGCCTATGGTAAAAGAGAGAGCCAGGGAGAGAGGGAGGGGAAGTTGAGAGGTAGGATGAGCCGGGGACAAAGGCAAAGAGAGACACCTTGGTTCGGACGAGTCCGGGGCGCTGGTCTCGAACATGCTCCAGGGTAGCAGCAATGTCAATTTCCTTCACTCCTAGTAGAGGGGGAGACATAGGGAATTTAGAGGGAGTGGAGGAGACCCCAGAGGAAGAAGGGTCTCTGGCAATGTTAAGTATTTCCAGAAGGGGATTGGAAGTATATCAACCTGTCCCTCCCAAGGCCCTGGAGGCAGCTGTAGAACTGGATTTTACAGATAGAAATTGGAAAGGCTCGGGGCTCAGATGAGCAATTGAAGACAAACTGGAGGTGAGGGAAAGAGAAGGAAAAGGCCTTACCTTTTGCCATTCGGTTCAGCACCATGTCAATGAGGATGTAAGTACCAGTCCTCCCAGCTCCATCACTGAAATGAAATGTTTGGGGGAGAGGGGGTATGGGAGAGCATAGGTCCAGTTTGAAAGGGAAAGGAAGTACAGAAGATCAGATTGGGGTTGGAAATGTGTGTTCATGTCAGAGATTTGAGGGCTGAGATCAAAGGCTGAAGGGAAGGTGGAGAAAAATATAGCATGGAAATTAGGGATTAAATCTCGGGACCTTCCCAGAGCTATTCTGGGAACATCTGCCTTAATAATTCTATTATTAGAGAATGATTTCTCTAATTTTCTATTACCTCTATTGTTCACTCTTTCCCCCCGCAATGTGAGGAGACAAGAAAGGGTCAGTGGGGTGGGGTAGGGAACTACAAGAAGGAGCAGCCCTAGATATATAACGTGAACACCCGCCCCCACTCTTATCCTGATTGTACTTAATAACAGATACACACACACCATTACCTGCAATGCACAATGATGGGGCAGGATCGTCCACGGTAACACTTGTTCACCTTCCTACAACAAAAATCAGGTGTGAATCAGAGGCACAAAACTTCAGTTCAATTCAACAAACATTTATTACGTGCTGACTACACACAAGACACCATGACCAGACCTGGGAGTGAAAAGGAAAAAAAACAAACCCGCAATTCCCTGCCCTCAAAGAGCTTACATTCTGCTGAGGGGGCCCAACATGTGCACATAGGCATAATACAAAGTAAGGAGTGGTGAAGGGGGCAAAGGAAAGATTTTCTCTAAGACTAAGACCTCTAGACATACTAAAAGAAGAACGGAGTGCTTATATCTGGAGGGGGGGGGGATTTGGGTGAATCAGGGAGGGTTTCACAAGGAAGGAGGCACCCAACCTGAGCCTGGAGGGAAGATAGGAAATCTAAAAGGCAGAGAAGAGACGGAAGTACCTTCTGGGTATGGGGGAGATGGCTCGTGTAATTGTACAGAGGTGGGGGATAGAAGGCAGAATGTGAGGGTTAGCTAAATCATCCAGTTTGGGCAAAATATAGGTTTTATGAAGAAGAGTAATAGCTGAAGACATAGGCTGAGGGCTGATCATGAAGAGCCCAAGATGCCAAACTAAGGCATAAATCAGCTGGAAAGGGAGGTATAGTTTGTCTCCTATCATTAGGGACTGACATGGCATCATCCTAGGAAGGGCCGGGCCCTGCCGTGAGCAAAGGAGAACGTGGTAAGGTGCCTCTTTGCCCTTAATGTCTTCCCATTGCTACCTTGTTTAGTCCTATTTGGGGTGTGGTTTCAACTTGGTAAGACCCCAGTGGCATCACTAGAACTGGGGACCAGGGAAGAAGACAGGGCAAGGACTAGAGGCCATGCCTCAGTTAATTGATATTGGGGAAGGCAGCACCTGCCTCTGGGAATTAGGGGCTGGAGGATGGAGTCTAAGCCTCTAGAATCCCTGTCTTGGGAGGATTTTAGATCTCTTATATGTCCCCATAGGAATCTTCCACCTGCCCCACCCAAGGCCGGCTCATTACAGAGAATAGTCCTCTGTCTTTTGGGATTACTTGGTGGTTCCTCTCCCCTATCAGCTCTATAATTCCACAGACAATTTTCACCCTTGCCCAAGCTCTCTTCCATTCTCTGAATCCCTCCTTAGCTAAGGGGGCCAGAATCTGATGGGGATGAGTATAATGGGAAGACATTATACTCCAGCATACTGTGTTGCTCTGTACAAGGTGTCCCCTTGTACATAGACCCTTAATTTAATAATACTTTAATTTTAATATTTTGGATTTATGAAAGAATATCAGATTTTAAATAGTTCTATCCCTATGGGACTGCATAGTTGAGTCATATGCCCATGAGTCTTTTGGTCCATTTAGGTTCCAGATTCTTTTCTGACACTCTCACAGTTCATTCTTCCTTGCTTTATCTCTCAGTGACCAATTCAGCTTTTGTCTCTTATCACATACTGTTTCTGTGGGTCCCCCCCCATCTCCCTTTTATATTGGCAGTGCTAAACTCAAATCCTAATCTTCCTCAAAGTTAGGGAGGAAAGATGAGTCACCTACAAGACCTACTAGCTTAGTCTCTTTCCCTAGGAAAGATGGATGGAGCTTCGAGCCAGGTTTGGGCAAGTGACTCCTGCAGTACTAACCTCTTTCTGAGACTGGTTATCCACTGACTGGGGGAGTGAGTGAGCAGGGCCATATAGCTTTTCCAGCACAGGAGTCAGATGGTATAGGGATGACACTGAACACCTTGCCAAATGCCCAGGATTTGAACCCAAATCTCTCTCCCACATCAGCCTGTTTCCCTTTTCTCTTTCTCCATGCCTAGAGGTTTTCACGGCACGTACAATATAGGATACAGATCCACACGGATCTGGGAGGGTGTAGAAAAGTGGGAGTGAGGAGAAGAACCCTAGCATTCTGCCTATCTGTCCAAAGGGGAGTGTCCCAAGATGCCAAAGGCAGCTCCATGGATTTTGTGGTTTTGTGGCCAAACAGGAGTCCTTGCCATCCCATAGCCCCAAAACGGATGTACCAAAGCCCCAAGAAACAATAACAATGTCTTTCCTCCCTTTCTTCCCTGCCCTCTGTCAGGGTCCCCCAGGGCCCTGTCCTCTCAGGCGGCCTGCTGGGGCTTTCCTGGGGCCCATCCATCCTGTCCGTGCGGCAGCCACACCTGCCAATGATCACTTTTGTGACTATGCAACTGAAGTCAGAATACTAGCTGCAGATCACAAAAATGACACTGGCAGCTGTGAGAGAGAGAGACAGAGACAGAGACAGAGACAGAGAGAGAGAGACAGAGACAGAGAGAAAAGGGGGAGCAACTGAGGAGACAGAACAAGCAGGGAGGACAGGGAGAGATGGAAATGGAGAGAGACAGACTGGCAGAGAATCAAAAGAATTAGAATAGACCCAGAAAAGAGATGGACACAGAGAAGACAGTCCTGGATTGAAGGATATGGAGAGGGGAGAGCAGCCCAGGGTGAGAGGTCAGAGAGTGAGCCCCCCAAGGCAGGGCACAACATGGTGCACTGGAAAGAGCTATGGATTTGGAGTCAGAGGACCTGGGTTCAAATCCTGGCTCTACTATTTTACTACTGTGTGACCTTGAGCAAGTCACTTCTCTGGACCTCCGTTTCCTCATCTGGAAGATTAAGGGGGGGGGTGGACTAAATGGCCTTTAGGGTTCCTTTCAACTCTTAAGCTCTGATCTTATGACTCAGCCGGTTCTTTACTCCCTGCACCTCATTACTGGGCTGAGAGGAGATGAGGCAGGGCTTCCCATGTGTTATGAACTGGTCCATGGAGGAAAAAGGTAGGCTGGGAGATAATGGGGAACCATAACCTGATCCTCATTGTGGGTTCCATTTCACAAAATGCACCATCTCTCCCACCCCTCATTTTCCTCTGTCAGTAGACAGTGTTACTGAGACATGAAGGAGTTTCACCCCTTCTCAAGGCTCCTGCTCCTCCTGACTGGGGACATGTGTGCTACTGCTTACCCTAAATGATTAAATTTCTATTCTCCTTGCTTCTCTCAAACCAGACCAAATCTATTTCCGGCTCCATCCCATCACTGTCCTCCTTCAGCTTTATCCCACATCTCAGGGCCCGGTGCTTACCTGCGGAAGTCCAGCAGGGGCCGAGTCGAGGTTGGGATGCCCTCAGCTGGCCAGCTGAGGAAGTGGAACTGGGTGAGGGTGCGTGTCTCTTGGGACTGCACATTTTTCAGGTAGAAGCTGCGAACCAGGAAGTCCTCACACCAGATGTGCTCCGAAACCAGGTTCACCTGCATGGAGAAGGAGCTCAGTCTCCAGGTGATCCCCTTTGTTAATGGGGGTGGGGCGCTCCCCACTGTCCCCAGCATGAATTGTGTGCTTTTCAACCTTTGTTCCCTCATTGAAAGACTATTCACCACCTTACCTTTCCCTTCTCACCTATTGCCATCTTTCAAGGCCAGCTTCTTCTTTTTTTTCCCCCTTAGGCAATTAGGGTTAAGTGACTTGCCCAGGGTCACACAGCTAGTAAGTGTCAAGTGTTTGGTCTGAGGTAAATTTGAACTCGGGTCATCCTGACTTCAGGGCTGGTGCTCTATTCACTGTGCCACCTAGCTGCCCCTCAGCCTCTTTCTTGAGGTCTCCCTTAATCGCCCTGTTTGACAAGAATCTCTCCCCCTCTTCTGAACTCCTCTAAGGCAGTTGCTGTCTTGAACTACTCATTTGGCATTTGTGATAGCACCTGCTGCTAGAACACTTTCAATGTACCTTGACTATATCTTGTACATACATGGTTGTCTGCATGTTGTCTTCCCTGCTGGAATGTGAGATCCTTCAGGGCTGGGACTGTTTCTGCCTTTCTTTGTATCCCTTGAGCCTGGCCTAGTACTCGATTAATAAAATGCCTGTTGACTTGACTAAAATGGTCCTTAGAGATTAACTAGCAGTCTAATCGTCTCATTTTACATGTGAGGAAACTGAGATCCTAAAAGGGAAAACTAGCAAGAGACAGGACCAGGATTGGAACACAGGTCTTCTGACTTAATTTAGTGTCCTTCCCCACCTCCATGTCACTGGGTAGCCTTTGGAAAGTCACCTCAATAACTCTGAGCTTCTGTTTTTTCATTTATAAAATGGGGCTAATAACAACTGCATTCCCTAGCTCTCAGGTTGGTTATGAGGATCAAAGTGCTGTTATAACCATAAATCTTTCTCCAGACCATTATTGCTGCCTCGTATTGCTAGTTATTTTTTCATGTGTGTGCGCCTCTGGTTGCCCAAGCTAAACTATAAACTCCTGGAGAGCATTAAACTTCTTTAATCTCCATGGGGTACCCAGCAAGGGTACCCAGCACAGTGCTGGGTAAAGAGCAAGTGCTAAAGAAATATTCATTGATAGACATGTCAAGGGCTGCTGATGGGAGGTATTAGATCTCTAGTCCCAGGCTCTTTCTCTTCTTTCTTTAAAGGGTGAAGAGTTTGTGCCAGGTTCTGTTTCTTCCTTTTTCTGCATGACTTTCCTCCTCCCTCTCTGTTTTGTTTTCTCCTTCCTTTCCCCCTCCCTTTCCTCCCACGGTCTCTTGGGGTCCTGCCCAACCTCATAGACATGATAGAGGGATGAGCCCTCGTCTGGCCAGTAGCGGTCACATTGCTTGACTCCGTCCTCCACCAAGGGTGCCAGCATCACGATGACTGTGCAACCATTTTCCCACACCATCTGAGGGAGGAGAGATCCCACAGTGTCAGAGGGGTCAGAGGATTAGGGGGGCCAGGACATCTGCTCTATTATATCCCTGCCCAGTCCCCCAATTCCTGGGCCATACCCAAGTGGAGATATGGGTCGTCCCCTGGGGCAGCCCTCCTCATTCATCTCCACTTTTCTCTGGGAGCTCACCTGCCAGAAGTCCGAAATAGTGTGGGACAGTGGACCCTGAGTGGCAATGTAGGCTGGCATCCGAGGATCGTGTTCAATCTAGGTGAGATATATCATGTTGGGGTGGAGAAGAATCACAATTAGGAATAAGAAACGACATCAGGGGCAGAAGGTGTGGTTTTGAACCTTAGTTTAGCTGCTAGAGGAAACTGTCTACCATAGTAGAAAGAAGGTTGGAAGAAACCTAGGTTCACATCCTAACTTGTCAGTAGTGTGACCCTGGGTCTCATTCCTAACATGGAGATGATAATACTTACTTACAATACCTACTCTCACTGGGCTATTGTGAGGAAATTGTTTTGTAGGCTTTTAAAGCATTCTATAAATGTGAATTATTACTATCGTTATTAGAATAATAATAGATAAGGCTTTTTAGGGGCTGGGGCCAGGATAGATGGAATTCGTATTAGAAATGACGACCAGCTGGGGAAAAGGAAAGAAGCCCAGGTCAAGATGGGAGTTGGGATTGGCTTTTTTGCTGTTGGTGGGGAGTTCGATACTCACAATCGGGCTAGCGTTGATATAATCACTCCGAGAAGGACTGCTTTCCACCTTCAGCTTGATTCGGGCATGGTCATCTGCACAGAACCCCACCCCATGCCACACCCTCTTTGGGTCATCAGGGCACCAGCACCTCCCCCACCAGTCAGCCCCTTCACCAAGAAAGAGTTCCCCATTAGGGATACCCAGGCTGCTCCTTCAAACCCTCTTGTAAACAACCACCCCTTGGCTCAACAATCTGAAACTCTGGAACAAAAAAGGGGAGTGGGCAGGGCCAGTTCCCTACTAGGCTGGGCCCAGGGGCCACTCACAGGGCACAAAGTCAGGGTTCCTGTTCTTCTTGAGGTTGGCATCACCCTGGGCTGTGCTACAAGCATTGGGCTCTGCCTGGTAGGCACAAAGGGCTTGCCACTCCTTGGCCAGTCGGTCACGGTTTCTTAGGTGATCCTCCATATATGCCTGGAGAGTAGAAATCACATGTTGGTACCCTTCCTTCCCACTTCCCATCAGACTAGTTCAACCCTTCATGTGCCAGCCCCTGCCCTCCCTGCTGCAGCCCCCTTGCCCCTTAGCTTCCATCCTAACCAGGATCATGTGTCCTGTGGAGATGTCCATGTTGGCCTGGGCAGGCTCCTCACACCAGGATGGAGTGCTGCTGTGGGAGCTGGGACTGGCCTGGGCAGCATCGCTGAACTGAGAGGAGATGCTGCTCACCCTTGAAGGCTCTGGCGGTCCCTCTGACCGGCTAAACAGAGACTTGGTGGCCATGTGCTGACGGCACAGCTCCTGGGGAATCAGATGAAGGGAGACAATGCTCCGGAGACATCAGATATAGCCCAAAGACATCTTTCAGCCTTCCCATCAATATCCGAGATTTACATATTGGGACCTTTTGTTCCCTGGTTTATTCATTTATTCATTCAAGAAATAATTACGACTCTAACCCTAACCTTCAGAGTTACAGAGTGATGGGTGGGGTGCTGGGGGAGATACCAAATTACACAGGATGGTCCCTGTTCTCCCAAAGTTTTCTGGGTTTGGTTGATTTCAAAATGAATACAATTCCAGAGGGAAGGACTCTTTTATCTATGTCTCTTCTATATCTATTTTGTCTATGTCTCTTCTTAGAGCTGAAGGCCTATTTGAATGGGATTTATGACTCATAGGACCTTGGAGTGAAAGGGATTTTAGAGGTTATTCAATTACAGCCTCCTCTCTAATGCAGGCCTTCACTCCATAGCTCTCTAGAGGGGTGGTCAACACCTAGCCTCTGCTAGCCCATATCCACAGGCAGGGAATTCACTATTTGGTGATTCAGCTAACTTCCCAAGTCTCATCCTCTCCATACTATGTCCTGCTGTTTGCTTGTTCATCCACCCCATCGGTCCCAAGTGTCCTGGCCTTTTCTAAGCTCCCCCCTCCCCATCTCCCATGAGGAGCCTGGGGGACCACAGACCTGGTACTCCAAGGTGGTATCTGCATGGGCTCCCTCAGGCCCCAGGGCTGCCAGGCGTTCCTTTTCTCGAAGTCGCCCATGCTGCCGCAAACAGATGGCTAAGGCTGCGGCCACTAGCAGCCCTGCCACGCCTGCTAGGGCCACCAGGGTCAGCAGCACAGAACGAAATGGGGGAGTCCCTCGAGCTGGCCGGGGTAGCACCGCAGCTGCTTCTTCACGCTGTTGACACAGTGTTTGTGTAGGAGGCGAGTTTACTAAATTTAAGGGAGGTGGAAAGGAAGAAGCCACTCTCCCTAGCCCCATCCACTTTTCATTTGGTCAGGACAGAAATGTTCAGGGGTTGGGGCAGCTAGGTGGCACAGTGGATAGAGCACAGGCCCTGGAGTCAGGAGGACCTGAGCTCAGATCTGGCCTCAGATACATAATACTCACTAGCTGTGTTACTCTGGGCAAGTCACTCAACCCCAATTACCTCACCAAAAAAAAAAAAGATGAAAAAAATGTTCAGGGGTGATAAAAGCCATAGCCTCAATCTGATACTCCTGGAAGGGGTCAGTTAAAGCAAATCCCTCATAATTCTTTGGTCCACCTGCCCAATATCATGATGCTTGATGGTTTAGGGTAAAAGCAGGACAGGTACTTGGAAAAATGGTGGTCATTAAAATTAATGCCCAGACTCCCTCTTATAGTTGTCAGTCAATAAACATCTATTAATAATAATAGTAATAATATTTATATATGGGCAGCTAGGTGGCACAATGGTTAGGGCTCTAGCCTTGGAGTCAGGAGGACCTGAGTTCAAATCTGGCCTTGGACACTTACTAGCTGTGTGACTTTGGACAAGTCACTTAATCCTGTTTGCCTCAGTTTCCTCATCTGCAAAATGAACTAGAGAAGGAAATGGCAAACCACTCCAATATCTTTGCCAAGAAAACCCCAAATGGGGCCATGAAGACTCAGCAATAACAAATATGTTGAACACCAGAGAAGGAAGGAAGGAAGGGATGGAGGGAGAAAGGGAGGTAGGGATGAAAAAAAGGATACCACTTCTGACAGCTTGCAAACTAAAGGGTGGGGACTAATTCATTTGAGGCTTTGTCTCCTTGGTGCTTGGCACATAGTTGATGGTGTTTAATAAATATTTGTTGATTGAGTTTCTTCCTTTCAGTTCTACTCAGATTGTTGGAGCTAGAAGTGTCCTAGGAGATCATTTAGTCCAACCCCATCATTCTACATAGGAGAAAACTGAGGTTCAGGAGTGACTTACCCAAACTAGTAAGTAGAAGAGCCAGGCCTCAAACCCAGGTTTTCTGGCTTCAAGTCCAGGCTGCTTTTTCCTAACTAACTACACCATCTCCCCTCCCTCCATCATAGAACATCATAAAATTTAGAGCTGAAAGACATCTCAGACATCATAGATGATCCAAGGGTTATTAGCCTGGCATTCATTAACTTGTTTTTTTTAAAATAGTTTGTAAATTGTATTTTAATGTAGTTGGTGTCCCTTTGTAATCTTATTTTTTTTTTATTTTATGTAATTGAGAACATTATTCTAAGAAGGGGTCCATAAACTTCTCCAGACTCCCCAAGGGAGAGGTCCATGACCCAGAAAAGGTTAAGAACCTCTAATCTAATCCAACCCTCTCATTTTACATAGGATGAAAATGAGATTAAGAGAGGTTAAGCAGTTTGCCCAAGGCCACCCAACCAATAACTGTCAAAGCCTGCATTCAGATTTCAGGGCCTAATGCCTTTCTACCATGGCATATCTCTGTCACTAATATGATCAACTCAATCACAGGAATATATAAAAAACAGCTTCTATTGCTCTTCCCAAGATTATCTACATCTTAAAAGAGGGGAAAAGGCGATACTTAACCCAAAGGAACGAACTGGTAGAATTTCAGGCATGATAGTAAGGCAGATCTTGCTTTTAGAAGGAGGCAACCTTCCCAGCCCATTCTTTCTGGATATTTTCATTTTAGTTCAGGTAGTTATAAAAGAACTTGTTAAAAAAAAAAAAAACAACCCTATCTTAACCTGACCCAAGGTTTCCCGTCTTTTCACTACCCTATCTTATCTCAGACTTTTGTCATAGAAAGCCAAAAGATGGTGCTCTCATTTGGTAAATCCAGCAGCACCCCCTGCTGGTAGTAGAGAGAATAGCATGTAAAGGGGGTTTTCTCTCTGGCCCTGGGACACTTGGGCCATCACCATCTCCACAGAACCAAAGGATATCAGAACTGGAAGGGACCATAGAAGACATGAAATCCAAACTCCTCACTTATAGATGCGGTACCTGAGTCCCAGAGAATGTTAAGAATTCAAAATCACACAGCTCTCTACTTCCTTATCTTTAAGATTCCCCTGGGGTTTATCTCTTCTGTTTATTTCTTCCTTGATTCCTCCTAATGTACTCCCCTCTTCAAATCTGAATTTATTACCAGTACACTATATATGTGTGTGTGTGTGTGTGTGTGTGTGTTTATGTGTGTATAAAATCTGTGTACGTGTTATATTTGTCCAGTCAGAATGTAAGCTGGAGAGCAGAGACCTTTTTTTCTTTGTATACTTTAGCACCTATCATGATGCTCAATAAATGTTTATTAACTGCCTGACACTGGACCCTTCTGAGGTCCCTTCCAGGTTTCAGTCCTTTGATCCTAAGTCAATTCTCTAAGTTGTACCTTGGTTTCCCCTGTGTACCACTAACATCCCTTCCTATATCCCCCAGAGACCCTGGCACTGGCATTAGCCCCAGGTGAAAGAAAAAGACTTTTTTGCATACCTGGCCCACCCCTGTCTGCACGATTCGGAACCCCGTCTCTGCTTCTAGCTCTGACTTCACCAGTCCTGCAAGAAGAAGACATCTTAGGCCTTTATCAGCCCACAAGAATTCTCACACCATCACATGCCCTGTAGGTAAGCTGAGTTATTCAGGATGATGGTGAACAGACCTAAGTCAGGGGTCAAGATGGGGCTGGGGGTGGCATTTACCAGCTTGCTGTGTCACGTCAGCCAAAGACATGTTCTGCTCATTGTTCCGGATTCGGAAGGTGAGGGCTGATCCCACCACACTGAAAGGTAGGAGTGAAGTTATGGTCTCAACCCCCAGGGCTCAGTCACTGATGGCAAAGCTGTATTTGGTAGGACTAAGGAAGGGATAAGTTAAGCTCTCTAGGGGAAGCAATGAAAGATCTGAGGCCAGTTCTAGTTTAGATAATGGGCACATACACCTAGGAAATGTGCCATCAAGCCCAGATGTGGCTCCATCTCAGAGAAGAGAAAGAAAGCGTATCTCATGGAAAGGGGCAGGGCCAGGGTAAGAAAAGATAAGATAGAAGCAGAAGGAACAGAAGGGTAGTAATAGTTTAATAGAACAGGAGAGCCAAGGACAAAAAGGAAGGAGAAATGGAGGATGATGATAGGAAGGAGGTGGTGACCAATGGCAGGGCTGAGAACAAGGAGCCACTTTGACGGCTGTTGCTCCCCAAACCCATCCCCTCCCCGACGTCTCAAGGAAGAAGTAGGCTCTGCTTCTTACCTTGCTCTTCATATACCTCCCCCCCCCCAATTCCTTCACCCAAAAGTTCAGGGCATCAGCACCACCTGATATTGATGAAATTCCCAGAAGACATGTGGATGTGTTCTGCCAAGATCTCCAAGAGTCTGACACCAGCAGTCAGTCCTAGGGGCCTGGGGTTAGAGTGGGCAGAGGAAGTGGGAGGGAGGACTTCTCAGTTACATCATCTTGAGAGAATATTCATTCCATAGCATTGAGAGCCCAGTAACCAGCCTCCTTGCCTCCACCACCACCCCCCTCTCCCACCATTTAATCCTCAATCAGTTCCCACCTTCCTCCAGGTCTAATGTTCTTTTTCTACCTACAGTGATTTGTTTTCTTTGATTTATGCAAGGCTGGTAGTCTACTTGTCTCACTTCCTCTAGCCCCCTTGCCTGCCTCTGGATTCCTATGGTCTTCCCTTCCCAAGAATTCTTACTTCTGGTCAGTAACTATGTAGCCATACTCCTCTGTAGAGGGAGCAGGGGGCTGATCTCCCCTAGAGAGTCCTTTCTGACTTAGTGGACTCTTCTTTTCCATCAGGACGGGCATAACCAGGGAAGGCGGTGGCTCAGTGGGGCCTTCCATTTCAGCTCTCTGGGCATGAAGTGGGGTGGTGCTACCAACAGGGAGTTCAGGCAAGGAGGCCATGGCAGAAGGAGATTCTACTCTATCTACCGTGTGCTGCATGTCTCCTTCCATTACCTGTCCAAAAGAGGAAAAGAGAGACTTGAGGGATTGGCCTAGGTTAGCAGAAGCACTGCAAAGGGAACCCTAGCATGCTTGTATCCAGGACTCTGAGAGTCCTGTCATATGGGTACCTCAAACAATGAGGCTGGAATGGGGTGTGACAAAGCAACAGAAATGATGGAAAGATCTGGGACTGGTGGTTGGAAGTGGGTTCTTGTCTTGGCTCTGCCTCTGATTAGCTGTGTGACCATCTTTCTATGTAGCACTTTCCCCATCTGTACATAAGGGATGTTGGATCAGAAGCAATCACTAAAATTCCTTCCCAGTTATACCTTTCCATGGTTCTGTGAGAAGGGCGGGGGATGGTGTTGGGGTAAATTAGAAGAGTTTGGGCTCTATCTTACTTTCTTAGTCTCAGCATCAGTATTTCCAGCTTCACCTGTGGGAAGGATAGAAAAGGCTCATGAGGCTAAGGTGAAGGCCCAGGACTGAAAAGAGGGAACTTCAGATCAAGGTATCTATCCCATTGCCACATTCTTGTCATTGATTAGGGTCCCATGAATCCCATTAGCCTTCTGGATTGTGGCCCTGCCATCAGTCACTGGCTCCTTCCCATCATCATCCTCCACTTCTCCTTCCTTTTTGTCCTTGGCTCTCCTGTTCTATTAAACTATTACTACCCTTCTGTTCCTTCTGCTCCTATCTTATCTTTTCTCACCCTGGCCCTGCCCCTTTCCATGTGATATACCTTCTTTCTCTTCTCCTTATTTCCTTCCTAATTCCTGGTTATGCATTGTAGCCATGGAACAATGATCATCTCCTTAAAGCTGACTTTCCCAGGGGCCTTGGATCTCTCCACCTGGACACTCACCCTGGCTCTTCCTGATTCCCTTGGGCAGCAGCTGCATCAGAGTGTAGAGGCTGGTGAGTTGCTCCCGACTCAGCTGCTTTAACTCTACCCCATAGTTAGCCAGCACTGCAGCCAGTCTCTGCAGAACAACATCTGTCAGGGAGTCAGAGAGAGAGAGGGCTTAGAGTTGGGGATGGGAGTGGGAGGGGGACACGGGATGCACAGGAGTGGGAGAGGAGGACCTAGTGATTTGAATAGCTTCTACTGATATACTGAGGAAGCCAATTCACTCCCTAGCCCATTTCCAAGTGTTCTGAGAAAACTACTCATGTGAAAAGGGTGAGAGGCATTCTGGATCTCATCACAGTCCTGGACAGGCTGAGTTCCCCATAAGACAGGGACAACTGACTGAAAGAAGGGAAAGGTAGATGGATGGAAGAAAACGAAGAAAGATGGAAAGGGAGAATGGAATGATGAGCAGGTAGAAGACTCAGTTACCTGGTTGGGGGCCTGATGATAGGGATGCTAAAGCAGGAGGCTCTGGTTCCCGCTCCCCAGTGCCCCCTATCCCTTCCTCCCCATAGGTCTTTGGAGACTCTCCTCCCTGGCTGGTGCCTCCCTGTTCATGTAGCCTTTGACCCTTGACTCTGACTGAGGCAGGGGGCTCCTGAGCCAGGTAGAGGAGTCCAGGGTCCTGGAACAGCTGAGCAGGTACAGGTCCTGGAGGGTTCCTGTAGGAAAGGCTGGGATGGGCACCAAACACATTCTTAGAAGCAGCTCTACTGAAGAGGGCTGGGGCCTCGGCCTTTGACTGAGGGACGACTGTGACCAACCCTGGGGAGTTTTCCAGGGCCCGGGAACTTTCCTGGGAGGCAAACTGTGTGGGAAAGCAGAGTTTATGGTCAGAAGAAAGTTGGGGGTGTGGTGGGAGTAGGGGTGGCTGCAGCCTTAGGTCTCACCTGGTGGAAGAGGTAGGGCTGCAGCAGTGTGGGCTCATAGCTCAGGGCAGGGAGTGGGGGCTGTGGGGGCAGCAGCAGATGCTCCAGGAGTGGAGGCAGCAGTTCAGCTGGGAGGGAAGGCAGCAGAGCCCCACCCCCACCCCCACCCAGCAGAGGCCTCTGAAGTCGCTGTTGGGCTGCAGGGGTGGAGCCTGTGGCAGGGCCAGGTGGAAGCAACTCCCCAGGGAGAGCAGGTCTCCTGGATGCCAGGCTGGACCTGGGGAGGAAAGCAATGTGTGTGGTGGGGAAGGACGGATAGGTAGCAGGTGGGGCAGGAAGAGCAGTGGTGAATGAGGCCCTATAGTTAGCCAAAGGAAGAGCTTAGGCCTTGAGTAGATATGACTTCCACTACAAGGAGGCAGCAAGGCTGGGCTAAGTCCTCCCTTGACCTGGTCTTCCTGGCCCCACAAATCAGCTGCTAGGAACAAACAGTGTGAGGATGTGGGGAAGGGAGGGCAAATCTCTCTTTCCCAGTCATGGCAGCAGGATTGCATGCTGGGTTCCAAAGCTCTAGGTCACTAAGGTGCCCACTATCCACCATACCACCATCAACTATATGTATTTCAATGTTCTTTGTCCCCCTGTTTACATCCCTCCCTTCCTCAGTAGAGGAGAGACTGAGCACCAGGGAACTGCCATCCATATGGCCCATCCCTTCATGGTCCAGGAATGTCATATATGCATGTGAAATGAGGGGTGAACAGAAGGGCAGTTAATTACTTTCTTACCAATAGTCAACTCCTGGAGTGGCAACAAGCTGGCTGAGACTGACAAAACCATGCCACAACCTTGACTCAACCCCTTAATGCCTGTCTATAGACCTTCAGCCCCTCTACTTCTCCCCTGTACCTTTCTCAGATCCTCTACTCTCTCCTTTTTCAGCACAAACCCTTTCAGCTGGGCTACAAAATCCATCAGCCTGTGCTGGGGTAGTGGTGCATGCTCTCTTTGTCCCACATGTCCCCAGGTCTTACCTGTCCTTGGAGCCAGGGTCTGGTGCCCGGAGCCGGGGGATCTTCTCCATCTCCTGGGATATCACATACTGAGTGATGTCATCCTGCCAGGATAGGCCTGAAGGGATGGAGGAACCCAAAGAAGATGGTTCTTTGGGACAAGCTAGTTCATCCAGTGAACCAGAATGAGACTAAAAACGATTCCCAATATGTATGTTGAAGGGAGCACAGATCAAGGAGAGAATGAGAAGGATTCAGAGCCAGCCATGACGGGTACATTTTTATCTATCTTTGAATACCTCCTTCTAAATAATCTTTCCGTTGTTTTGTTTTTCAGACTGAATCTTCTTATCTCATCCAGGCTGGTATCTACTCATGGGCCCCCACTCCTGGGAACCCACCATATTGGTGCCAGTCTTAGTAGCTCTACTGCAGCTCAGGATTTCTGAGTTCAAGAGATGCTCTAGCCTCAGCCTACACTTTCAGCAGGGATCACAGTACCACCATGCTGGGCTCCTCTAAAACCATCTTTGATGATCCTGAGGCAGCTCTCATTTCCGTCTCTCCTTTGATAAGTAAGAGCTTTTTAGTTTTAGCTCCTAGATAAGCCAGCATATAAGGAATCATGTATGCTCCATCTCTCTCTTTCTTCTCCTCCCTGTATAGTCTGCCCTGACCTTACAATTCATCTTTAAAAAAAGTTCTTCCATTAAAATAATTCTTTGGTCCCTGATCCCGATGCTCAGGCAGAACTAAAATGTGGGGCTGGTCAAGAGCATTGTATGCTGGCCCTAGTGGCCTCTGTTCTGGTCTAAATGGTTCTTTTGGAATCCTCTAGTGTCCATTAAAAGGCAATTCCCCCAAATGCTGACTTGGCTTCACTAAGTAGGTGAAAGAATGTATAATTATAGATGTAAGAATGGTAGAAATGTTATGGGTAGATTAGGACAGGGAAGAGATACCTCTTTCTTTAGGAAGAACTTCAACTCTCATTTCTTTCAGCCTTAACTAACAGACTCCTGCCCCTCTCCCTCCATCCTCTTTATACCTCACTTACCTTGGGACATGAGCTGCCGAAGCACATTTTGCAATCGCTGGAGGATGGGTGAGGTGACCTGCAGCAGGGGCCGTACTCTCCCTGCACCTGTCTGGCACTGTCCAAACAAACCATCTAAGGGCATAAGGAGTGATATTTCTAGGACACATGGTCTGTTACCACATTTCATATATTCCATAACCCCAGGACCACCTCCTCTTGACTCCTGAGGGGACATTAAAATCATGCTCCCAGAAGACCAGGTGAGATGGGACTCCTCTCCCTCAGCTCCTGATACAATCAAGTGTTCCCTCCTCCCACCCCTTCCCTTCTTCCTATCCACAGCTCTCATTGCCATGTGGCTAACTTTCCTTTCTCCACTCACCCTGGATACAGACCTCCTGATGAGAGCAGAGCCTACGGTCAAACAGGCAGCCTGTGGATGGACAGATGAGTTCATCAATTTGCCAGCCAAGCAAATCAGATAGTCATACAGATGGAAAAGGGGGAGGGATGGGGAAGGTCATTTGGATCCATCCTAGGGAGGGTTTCATATATGATAAGAGAAATGATGCAGGAGGAGGTCTGGAATCCTTGGGAAAAGAAAGTATTAGAACCTAAACCCAGGGTTGATCAGGATCTTGGTAACGTGATTCCTGAAAGTCTCAAGTTTCCCCATATGTACACTGAAACTGTTTACACACATTCAGTATTCTACAGCTCCTCCAATGGGCACAGCATTCAGGAGACCTGAAAGACATTTACAATGATGGGGGATGTTATCATGACTAGGGGGTTAGTGGGACAGGAAGACAAGCTCAGTTACTTTGTAGGGTCCTTCTGGGATGTAAGGCCTCTGGCATTGTGGGCTTGGTAGTGGGGAGGGCCTCCCACTCACACCGTGAACAATGGGGGTGGGAATGTGGAAGGGGCGGAGACCAGTGCCCTCCTATGGGGAAAAGGACTTGGGGGCAGGAGGGGCTTTTGAGGGTGGGAAGCAGGAATTGTGGGGCTGATGGAAAAACCAAGCAGTCCTCAGGGCTGCTCAAGAGTCGACAACCCTCCCAGAACACTCTGCCACTGTCCAGGGTGCTGACGTTCAGGACCGGGTGGGGCCAAGGGTTTGGAATCCGGCTGCTCAGGGCGGTGATGGGAGGTGGGGAGGGGAATGGGCGAGGCATCTGCGTGAGGCCTGTTACCATTCCCACCGTCAGAACCCACACGGCCACTGGTGCTCTCCCCTCGATCCTCACAGACAAGGACCGGCCTGGAAAGGGGGGTGTCAGACTAGGAGTCAGCCTGCTCACTCCCCTTACCCACGTGCCCCCCCCATTCACTCCCCCCCCCCCCCCCCGCCCCCAGTTCGTGAGTCAGCGACTGACTCTGTCTCCGGCCGCTCAGCCGTGAGTCAGCGCCGGGCCCGGGAGATGGGGGGAAGGGGGGAAAGAGGGAAAAGACCCCCTCCTCCCTCTATCTTCTCTTGCCCCTATGGCCCCAGCTTCCCTTTAGCGCTGGGGGCCCCGAACAGGACTGACCCGGCCTCCCTGGGAAACCTTAGTCCCTCTTCCGACTCAAGCTTCTCTTTGAGAGCCCCGAACCCCTCTAGCCGGCTTCCCAGGCTCCTCCAGCCTGGGATGCCCAAACTCATATCTGGAACCTTTTGCGATTCCCCCAGAGACGCTCTTCTCTTCTCCCCACCTTCCTGTCCCGACATCTTTCCAGGCTCGCTGTGGCCCTTGCATTTGCTTCGGTCTTAAACCCTTCAAATCGGAAGCAGGCCCCCCCCCCCCCCCGAAGCGAAGGCCCCATCACCTCCTGAGCCCACTTCCCCTAAGGTCCCGCCTCCGTATCCCGGGCCCCCCCCCCCGCCTCCCCCCCCCCCCTCCTCCCCCCCCCTCCTCCTTCCCCCCCCCCCCCCCAGTTCCTTTCTGAGTCCTTGTCCCCTTCTCTTTGGACTCTGTACCCCTATATTCCTTATCCTGGGATTCGCGCCCTTCCCATTTCCCCGACCCTTAGGCTTCCTCCTGACCGTGGGCGCTGGTGGCGCTGCTGCCCGCAAGGCGAGCGGTCAATAGCAAGAGGCAAAAAAGCAGTCGGAACCCCCAGAACCCCGGGAGCCACCGCATCCTCCTCCTCTAGGCGCGCGCAGGTTCCCCCGGCAGAACCGCAGCGACACTGGCGGGAGCCGGACGCAAGGGGGGCTCGGGCGGGGCCACGGCACACCCCACCCATTTCAGAGGTGGGTTTCACACGCCCCTCACGGTGTTGCTTGTCCAATCATGGGCGGTCCCAGAGACGACTCTCCCACCTCTCCATCCTTTATTTTCTCAGACTGGCTTTTGCGTCATAAATGTCGTCATACCCCTGACCTCAAGGGGGTCTGCATCATGAAGACCCCTCCTTTAACGTCCACCCTTTTATACAAGTCACACCCCTAATTGCCATCTCTTCCGCCTCTGCATCAGACTCTACCCCTAACTATGGGAAGAAGAGCTCATAAGGGGCAAGGTGAGACAGAATTAGGATGAATTAGCTTCCTGCATCATTCACATTTCCCTTCTAGCTACGTCTCCATAAAGATCTCCCTTTTACACCTGCAGTCTGGAAGGGAAAAGAAGGCAATTTCTTTAGGCTATCCTATAGGGCACCCAGGAGTCCTGACAGTGAAATAGGTCACAGTTAAACCGGGAGAAATGAGGAAGTGATCATTGATTCGGCCCGGAAAGTAAAGATGTACTCCCCATTCAAGCTCAAGCAACTGTTCAAGGAGCCAAAGAATCCCTCTAAATAGACCCTAACTGAGGAGAGACTTAATGAACTTTGACTAACCACACTGGATGTTTGGACGAGGCAGCTCTAGCCAATCTTAAACTGTGATCCTAAATACAATGCTATCAAGTCAACTGTCTTGGAAATGAGCTGAGCTCAGCTCTCCTCTATGCCAGATTCATTCAATTCAGCTGCTACCAATAAGTTTTTAAAGTCATTAGACAGAAGCAGCAGATAGTGCAGTAGATGAATCTCTGGTCTTGGAGTTTACTAGCTGTGTGACCTTGGGCAAGTCACTTAACTTCAGTTTCCTTAATTGTAAAATGGGGATGATAATAGCACCCACTTTGCAAGGGTTGTTGTGAGAATCAAATGAGGTGATATTTGTAAATGCACTTAGCATGGGGCCTGGCTGATAGTAAGCACTATACAAATGCTTATTCTCCTACTATCCTTATACTCATTCTTACAGGGGAAGCGGATGCCCTAGGAGGTTAAGTGACTTGCCCAAATTGGTGTGCCTCTCAATTATTGATGAGCTAATAACAATAATAGCTGACAATTTATTTCTGGAGTATCTTAAGGTTTGCAAAGTGTTTTGATTCTCCCAAATTTGTGGAGTAAGTACTACAGGCATCATTCTCATTTTACAGGCAAGGAAGCAGGCTCCGCCAAGGTTAAGTGACTTGCTACTAAGTCACAGTGCTACAAAGTGTTAGAGATAAGATGGAGATAAACTCAGATCCAAGGCTCTTTCCACCAAACCAGGATAAACTAACTTAACTTTGCCATCAAGGCTGAACAGGTAATTCCAAGGTCCATCATTCTAAAGGAATGATAGAGGTGCTATTTGGAGCTTCTTAAATTTTTTCCACTTGAGACCACCTCAGCAATGCTTAAACCCACAGTTTAAGAAGTGCTGGACAAAGCACCTTTGTTAATTCTTTTGGATGGACGCTTCCTCTTTATGGGAAATTTGGGAGTTGTGATGAGAAAGGGTACAAGAAAGGAATTTAACCTAGAAGTTGTCCCAGTCACACACTTGACTCTAAGGATGAAAAATCAGAAGCATTCAGGGGCAAAGGAACAACAGCTCTGACTTAACCTCAGCATATCTAAAACCAAACCCGTCATCTCTCACTCTGAAATCAGTTTCTCCTTCTGCCTTCTTAATTTCTGATATTTAATGCCACTAAAATTCTTCTAGTCACCTGGCCTCAAAACTTTGTCATCTTGGATTCCTCTCTCCCTCAACAACTACTCAGCAACCCAATTCTGTCCCTTCCCTTCTTTGCATTGTTCCTTATCTCTGCCCCTTGCCCCCATCCCCCACCACCACCCCCATCTCTACCAACTTGAGGCAAAGATTACAGAACTTGGAGCCAGCAGAAATCTGACCAGATAGTCCTGCCTCTGACACTTAGTAGGTAGGCAAATCACTTAATCTCTCTGAGCTTGTTTCATCTTTAAAATGGAGATAAAATTGTGTTAATTCTCCAAAGCTTTGTCAAATCTTATGGCTCTTCATAAATATTCAGGTACCCTCAACTGGACCATGAGTCTCCATATCAAATCTCTCACTTCCAAGCCATTCTTCATACCACCACCAGACTAATTTTCCTAAAGTACAGCTCTGATCACATCATACATACATTTCCCTAGCTTTAAAACCTCCAATGGCTACCCATTGCCCACCAATTAGTCTATTTAATTCAATAAACATTTACTCTAAATACCTACTGTGTGCACAGTGCTGGAGCTTGGAGGAGCTCACAAACTATTCCTACCCTTATTTCATATTCTAGACAAGGCACACTACTTGCAATCACCTGGGAAGGTTTTAGATTTGTCTGGCTTCAAGACTTTATCCATTTCATTCCCCCAACCCTCCTTATCCCTGGCCATAGAATTTCCTAGTTGGAAGAGACCTCAACAGTCATTTAGCCAAATGTGTACCTGAAAAGGAACCCCCGATACAAACTAACAGACAAGTGGTCATCCAGTCTTTGCCTGAAGGCCTCCAGGAAAGGTGAACTCATACCCTCCTGAGGCAGTGTATTCCATATAGGGATAGATCTGATTGTTAGGACACTTTTCTGGATATCAAGTCTAAATTGACCTCTTTGATACTTCCACTTACTGCCCCCAATTCTGCTTTCTTGGGTCAAACGAAACAAGCTTACCCCCTCTTCCAACTGTCTTTTAAATATTGTTACTTGAAGACAGCTATTAAGTCCCACCAGACTTCTTTTCTTCACGCCAACAGCCCTAGTTCTTTCCACCCATCTTTGGTTGACATGGACCCACGGCTCTTCACCATCTTGGATGCTCTCCAGTTAATCAATATCCCTTCTAGATTGTGGTGCCCCAAAATGAACACAATATTCCAAACATGGCCTGACTAGGGTGCAGTATACTGGCACGTGTCTCCTTATTTCTGGAAGCTGTGCCTCTCAATAAAAATCAAGGCTGTATTAGCTTTCTTCCTATCACTGTTGACTCACAGTCAACTTGCAGTCCACTAAATGCCCCAGGATCTTTTTCAGACAAAATGCTAAGTATGCTTCCCCCATTTTGTAGTGGTAAAATCCATTGAGAAAAAAAAAGTGAAAGATTACATTGTGTATGTGTGTTGGAGGTGGGAGGAGCCTCTTCTTGTGATTTGTTCAGTTCTCTAAAGAGGAAACTCTCTCCGAAGTTTTTTAAATTTATCTATAACTTCTAAAGAAGTGCCTTGGGAACACCACAGGGATGACTTATCCATGGTCACACAGCCCATGAATTGGAAGTAGGTTCTGGACTTCAAGGCCAGCCTTCTCTCCATTTCAACTTGCATTAACTCCTGTGAAATTTCAGCATGGTAGATTCAGCTCCATGTTCTAGGCTGTTGGACTCAGTCATCCTTCAAAGCCCAGCTCAGATGTCGCCTGTTCCATGAAGCCTCCTGACCATCCATCCCAGTCAGAAGTAATTTCTCCAACCTCTGAAGGGCTCCAGCTCTTCCCTTTGAACCCCTCTTAAGACATTATCACATACTGCCTTCCAATACTAGCCTAAAAGTCCTTTCAGAGTAGGGACCATGTCTTTCTTACCTTTGTTCCCTTCATAGTACTTTCTTCCAACAAAAAGAGACAAGATGACAAAGGGTGGCACTGGAAAGGGTGGAGATTTGAGTCGAGGGAGAGCTAAGAGTTAACCCCTTCCTAATTAGGACTAAATATAAGCAAGCATGATGACTGGTACTGTTCTGTGCATAGCTGCACCCTAGAATGCAGGACCGCACAGTGAAGAAGGCACTGGATTCAGTCAGAATACCTAGATGCTAGAGTTCTGAGAGCTCCATCCTTGATTTGCTACATTGCATTGGACAAGTCATTTAACTTGTTTTTCAATGTCTCTGCTTGTAAAGTGGGAACACTAATAATAATCCATTGGCCTTATCTACCTCACAGAATTGTCACAAGAATACACCAAGAACCAATTTGATCAGGTTCTTTGCAAGATATCACAAGTGCTATGTAAATGTTGATATTTCAATTATGTGACGCTGGGGGAAGATGCTTTCTCACTTTTTTCCCTTCTTGCTTTCATAAGCGAGCATGAAGATCCTGGCTAATACGCCAGACAGGATGCTTGGAAAATTCTCACTGATAATGAGTTAGTATTTGTTAGTTAATCAGAATTAGAAAGTTTGTTAACGCATTGATGATGTTGAAGTCCTAAGAGTAATTGGGATTCCAGGGGGACTGCTCCAGGGTGGGCTTCTTCTTTCTGCTGCCCTTTCATGCACCCCATGGACTAGCTCCTTCCATCACTCTGCAGAGGGGCACTCATGCTGGGAGAGCACAGCAAGATCCCTGCAGCTTCAATTCCTTGGATGGAAGGAGGGAGACAAAAGGCTCCGCATAGACAAGGAACTGGTATGAAAGCAGCATCTTGGCCACACTCCCGGGGAAAGAGCTAAGACATGGATTTGGAGGGGGGCACTAACCCCACATGTGATCAGTCCTTACCATCTCATCCCTCCTGCCAGCTCGCTTCTGCGGTAAAGACAAGGGATGAGAGCCCCCTTTCCTCAATGCACCTTCCTTTTGGCTCCTGCCCTAGTCCTCTCATCCCAGGGATTCAACCCTCCAGTGCTCCCCTCCCTCAAAAAACCCAGCAGGGCAAGAATGAATGAAAAATTCATTTTAATATTTCAATTCTGAGTCAGGTGAGAACTGACATTCTGGACTTAATGGGATGAGGAAGGGAAGAGAAGCTCTTGAGAGGCCTCAATCGACTGCAAAATTGCGGCTCACAACAGGAAACAGCTCGAAGAAGCCCTGGATTGGGACAAAGGGCAGCGACGTAGCTAGGTGTTAGGGTATGGTGTGATAACCTCCCTATAAATCCTCCCTCTTGTATCTTCCACTTTCTTTCCCTTGATTCCCCCTTAGAAGACTGGGGCTTGGCCTGGGTCCCTCTGCCTTGGGAAGGCTGAGCTGGTCTGCTGTATGCATTCATGGCATCACCATGGTGATCAGCCTCATCACTTAGTGGGATGACGTTGCCCCAGCAACCAATCCCAGGGACCGGAGACACAGCTGCCATGGTGAAGTGGATAAGGGAGGGCAGATGAAGGATTACCTTAAAGAGAGTTAGGGTCTGCAACACACTGGAGGTACATGCCATCTCACGGATAGAGTGCATGGCCAGCTGGGGGCTGCCCAAATCAAGCACCCGCAGCCCCAGACGAGCAGCCAGGATGGGCCCAATGGTCGAGCCACAGGGGGAGTCATTCCGAACCATGAACTCCTGCAGAGACAGGAAGGGGTGTCTACGCGAGCACGCATACGGGGGGCAGGCTGAGATGTGAGGTCTATCAGTGACTTAGGACCTCTGAGTCACGGACAGACAAGAAACCACTGCACGTGTGGACTCAGGAGTGACTCAAATCTCTCATCTCTGTAGGAATCCCGGCTTTGCCGTCATAACCTCCAGACGCAAAGGGCCCAGAGAACATCTAATGATATTTGTTAACCCTAAGATAAATGCAGTAACGGGAACGCTATGTGTCGCTGAGGATTGGTACGTGTGCTGCGGTTGTCCCTGTGTGATCGAGGAGGAGACCGGTAATTTTCCACATAGGGCTCTCTACTGGGATGTTTCCCACTGTGACTGCTGTTCCCTATGCCTATCTTCAACGGGGCTGCCCCTTCCAAGTTATAGGGCTGGTGCCAAAATGCTTACCTGAAGGGGCACCCCAACGCGGGCAGCCACCTCTCGGATCAATGCCTCGGACACAGCGTTGGACGCATAGCGTTGTTTATTGTTCACCTTGATCACAGGTCCCTGGTGGGGGTGAGAGGGGGTGCAGGAGATGGGGAAGAAAAAAAGGGGACATGGAGCCCTAATCAATCAGTCTTAATCAGCACTGCTAGTGCTCCTAGAGGGAAAGTTGGGGTTGGTGGGGAAGGTGGAGGAAGAAGATAGGATTTGGATGAGAGACGTGGGCCTGAGTGAAGAGGGGAAATACAGGCTGAAGAGAAGCGGGGTTCAATGCAAAGGGGAAAGAGAGAGATATGGGGAAGGGCATACATAGGGCCTCAGTGGGGAAAGTGGAGGCCTACAGAGCCAGGAGGGACAAAGACAGGGCCTGTAAGAAGGGGAAAGAGACTTTTGGAGGGAAGAAATGGGGACGAGTGATTAGGGGGAGAAAGACAAGGTCTAGCAGGGGAGGGGAGGTTGGTGGGAAGCGAGGTGAAGGATAGGGCCTGGCCATGGAGGAGACACAGATCCTTTTAGAGGCTGAGCCAGGGTGGGGAAGGAAGGGTGGTTACCTTGTGGAAAAAAGGTCGGTGGTTTTCTTCATGTTTATCCCTAGAAGAGAGAGATTAAATGTTCCCCAACCTCGAGCTTAGGTTTGCTATTAGGAAATCCTAGCACAGGCCTGACCTCAGAGCATCAAAGGAAGGTAGAGAAATGGGGATACTATGTTATCCCTATTATTTTGTCCCTTACTAAGAGGATTTGTTCTGTGAAATTTGGGCTCAGCCTAAGGACTACACTTGAGGACCTAGAGGGCCTCGAGGCTGTAGGTTCCCTACCCCTGGGCTAGATGCTTTCCCACAAGCAAGGAGACCCAGGAACACCCATAAGCTGAGAGCACCCATCAGCCAGTCCCAAACACCCAGAGAAGGCACGGCCCAAAGCAACACCCCAACACTGGTGATGCAGAGGCCTCTGGGGACTCACAGGTGGTTAGGGTGCACGGCGTGGGCCATGTCGGCACTGATCATGTAGGATTTCGGCATGGCCTCCTCAAAGGCCGTCACGTTCTGGGGTGAGGCTGAGATACGGCGGAGGACCAGCTCTGTCAGCAACGACTCTGCTCCCTGTGCACTCTGCGATCCGACCTAGGGGGGCCGTGGGGGCTCAGCTCAGGGGTACTAGGCCAGTCTGGGGCCGAGGGGGCCCTGCCCAAGGGACGCCCCCGAGGCAGACAGACCAAAGGACCAGATCCTCCCCCATCTCCCCTCCCCCCAGCCCTGAGCACCGGTCTAGGGGGAAGGGAAGTCCATTTGCTCAATCTTCCCACCCTAGGCAATGGTTTCATCCCCATCTTCACGAAAACTGGAAAGCAAAGCAATTCCTAGTCATTTCCAAGCTAGAGATGGCATTTGCTGTTTACACTGTTCACCTGGTATTTGCCTATTGTTACCCTTGTTGGTAGCGGTTTAAAAAATATTATAATTATTAAAAATAATTAAATTTCCACCACCACCCCCATCTTGCCGCTTAGAATAGTGCCATGCACGTTAATGCTCATTCAATAAATACTTGCTGAATGAAACACTGCTCTGCTCTCACAGGGCTTACATGTCCCTCAGTGCCATCATTAGAGATAGAATCCTCCCTCCCTCCCTCCCTCCCAGCAGGCAACATTTACTGGGCATCTATTAGGACCATGGTAACTGGCTGTAACTGGCCTTGGGATACAAAGGAGTTTAAAGACACAGGTCCAGCTTCTGAAGAATCTGGCTGGGGAGAGAGTTGTGGTGTAGTGGAAAGGACATGGAACTGGGAGTCAGAAGAGCTAGGTTCAAATCCCAGAAGAGGCGACCCTTCTCTTTGCCAACACCAGACCCTCCCCTTGGGCCCCTGGCCCCAGCTCTCATCTTCTCAAGCAACTTGATTCTTTGATTATCCCTTCCTGCTTTGTAATTTTCAATCTTTTCTTTTCCAAGAGGGATCCCTTTGGCATCCCTTGATGCCAAAAAAAAAAAAACCACTCAGACCTCCACCCTCTTTACAGCTTCACTTGATACTGTCATGCCCTCAAAATATCAAATATTTGTTATTTCCTCCTTTTCACAGCCAAACTCCTAGGAAAAAAATGCTGTCTATATCTGTAGTGGCTACACCCTTCTCTCACTTCCTCCCCTCTGCAGCCCGGCTTTTGTGGCCACCCTCTGACTCTCTCCAGTCACCCAGGGTCTCTTTGTTGCTAAATCTTCTCTCACTCTTCTTCCTCCTTGACCTCTCTTCACTTTTGACAGCGCTGACCATCCTGTCTGAGATACTCTCTCCTTCCTTCGGTTTTCATGGCACTGTTTGCTTGTGGGCCTCTTCCTACCTGACTTCTCCTTCTCAGCTCCCTCTGCAGGGAACTCATCCATGCTCCAGCCTTTATTCCTGTCTGTACCCCAGGAGGTGCCTATATGTGCTAGATGGACCCCAGCACTTGAGTTTGAATCCTGCCTCAGAAACCTACTAGTGACCTTAGGTGAGTAACTCAACCTCTTTGTGTCTCAGTTTCTTCACCTGTAAAATGAAGGAGCTGAACCTGATGGCCTCTTCTGGCCCACGGCTGTGTCTTGCCCCTCTCACCAACTCTCCCATGGATTTCACTAGCATCTCTATGTGGATGACTCCCAGATCTACATTTGGAGCCCTCACCTGTCTTCTAAGCTCCAGTCCTGTATCCCCAACTGGACGACGGACACCTCCAACCTAGATGTCCCATAGGCATCTCCAGCTCCACAGGTCCAAAACAGAACTCATTATCTTTCCCCCATACTCTCCCCTGCTCCTAACTTCCCAATTTCTGTTGAAATTCCTCTAGTCCCTCAGATTTGAAACCCTGGAGACATCTCTGCCCTCATATCCAATCAGTCCCTAAGGCTTATTGGTTCTCCCTTGTCAGCATCTCTCAAATCCATCCTATTCTCTCCACTCACACCAGTCACCCTTTTGTAGGCCCTCCTGCAAGGGTCTCCCCATCACCCTCCCTGTGCCCACCCTGCCTCTATGTAGCTGCCAAAGGGAGATCCCTGAAGCATGGATCTCACCACTTGACTTTCCTACATAAGAAACTTATGGGGCTCCCCATCTCCCGACTCCAAACTTTTGCACAAGCTTACCCTCATGCCTGGAATGCCCTCCCTTTTTCATCTCCCATCTCACCTCTTAAAACTTCTAGCCTCAGGCTTAGCTCAAGCACCAAGAGGCCTTTCCTGATTCCCCAAGTTGACAGCTCCTCCACAACTCACTGCTATTTACTTGTTTTTTTACTTTAATAGTATTTTTTTTTCCAATTACACATAAAGACAATTTTCAACATTAGTTTTTTGAAAGATTTTGAGCTCCAAATTTTTCTCCCTCCCACCCTTCGCTCCCCCTTCCCCAAGACGGCAATCACTCTGCTATTTACTTACATCCTGAGTGTGCCATATTCTCTCAGTACAATGCAAACTCCTTGAACATAGAGACTGACTCACATTTGCACTTATTAGCGTCGTGTCTGACATATAACAAGTGCCTGATAAATGCTTGTTGGTTGAGTGAACTTTTCCACCTCAGTTCACTCATCTATACAGGAGAGATGATAATAACCTGCATTACTCATCTTATAAAAAGGTAACAGACATTTATTAAGCATCTTCTACATGCCAGGGGCTTTATAATTATTATCTCATTTGGTCCTCACAACAACCCTGGAGGGGGTGTGGTAGGTGTGATTTTCACCACCATTTTACCAACAAGAGCAGATAAAGGTTAAATTAATTGGAGGGAGGGAGAGGGTGCTAGTATTTTATATATGAGGAAACTGAGGCAGAGAGAGGTTAAATTACTTGCTGGGGGGGATAGGTAATATTATTATCCCTATTTTATACATGAGGAAACTGAGGCAGACAGGGGTTAAGTGACTTGGCCATGGTCAAACAGTTAGTAAGCCTCTGAGGCCAGATTTGAACTCAGGTCTTCCTGACTTTAGACTCGCTGCTCTACCCACTGCACTACCTTGGTGCCACCCAACTGTGAGGATCAAACAAGATACTTATAAAGTATGTAGAGTACTTTATAAACTAACTGTCTCATCTCTCCTGGTCCTATTTATACAAGATGTCCCAAAAGTCTTGGTGTAGTTTTTCACTAAGACTTTTGGGTCATGCTGCTAGTGTCTGAGGCAGGATTTGAACCCAGGTCTTCTGACTCTACATCTAGCATTCTTTTTACTACACCAAAACTCTCTCCCCCAACCGGCATGTAAACCTTTCAGGGGCTGACCTTCATCTCAGACTCCTTTGTTATCTGAGCGACAATCAGAGGGCTCTGATCAGAGAGGCCCCATCAATGCTGACTGCTGCTGAGGGAGGGAGGAGTCTGCCTCTGCTGTGGCCCCAGGCTACGTGTCGTGAGTGATCTGAGGCTGGGAACTAAGTCTGTCACACATTCAGAAACTATCTGGATGGAAACTATGTGCAAGGCACTGTCCTAGACACAAGGGGGGGAAACCAAAGAGCTCGGAGATCTAGCCATTGCCCACAAGGAGCTGATAATCTAGTCTAGGAGTGGCTGGGAGGGATGGAGACAGAAAAAGAGAAAGAAAAAGTAAGGTAGGAGAGGCTAGTAGGGAAAAGAAGCGTATGTGGATAAGTACAACCCAAGGAAAACTCAATCTTTATTTTGTCTGTGTCTTGGATTTCACCAGTGCAAGGAGATTCCCTCCAGATCGGCATCTCGCTTGTAGCTTGGCTTAAAGTCTCCTGGAGCAACTGCAGTTTTAACTAAGATGCAATGTGTCATGGGCGAGACCTGAATTCAGGTCTTCCTGGCTTCTAGGCTGGCTGTCTGTCCACTAAGTAGCATTGCATTCCCCAGAGCAAAATGACAGAGAGACGGAGAAAGAGAAAAAGAGAGAGAGAGAGAGAGACAGAGAGAGAGAGAGAGAGAGAGA